CTGGTAAATTATGCATCCATACAACTGCATTCCAAGAGGAGCATAACATCCTCCAGACTCGCTCGAAGATCACCAATCAGCAAAAGTTGAGATGTTGCCTCAGCCTCTCGTAAAGCCTTTTACTGGTCGTCTGTACATATCCACTGCTTATAGATATAGCCTCATTTGTGTCGTCAGTCCTCTTGGTCTTCGCTTCGAAGCCTTCACTGGTTCCGAAAATATGGCACTGTTTTCATAGCAATTTGTGCGTCTACGTGTCTGTCTGTCTGTCTGCGCGCGTATTTGTGTACTTTTAGTGTGTTTTGTTCCAAACAAAATCAAGGATTGTCATGCGCCATCTTGCGGCGAGGAATGTTCTTGCGACATGACTACTTGCCGGTTCGTTTTTACATGCACCAGCAGCTTGCATCTCGGTTGTCATGTCCTCCTCATCCGGCGCATCAGTTATTTCTTGAATTCGCTACATCATCAGATAGGACCTAGTTTACAAATAGTCTGACTTTAATTTTTACCGCTACAAAAAGTAATTGCTCAGACAACTTCGATTAAAAGCATAAAACATTGCAGCCAATGATACAATCCACTAAATGGGTGTTGCAGTTGCGATCCCATGCTCAGTTGTTCCATTTTAATTGACTAATTAAACTGGACTGATGAGTGAGGGAATAGCTGCATAGATGGACGAATAAGCAGCTGGATTGGCCGGTAAGTTAGAAGGACATAGCTGCTCTAATGTACCATTTTACTAGCGTGATCTCTTGCCCATAGGCATTACCGTAGGCAACTCATGTTCGGACAAAATGACCGAAGATGGACACATGTCGAGCATCAACTTGTACAATCAGGCGGAGCATACAACTCCATACCATTGTGACTTTTACAAAGTTTCACATAGACAGACATACAGACAGATATACAGACCGACACACAGACAGACATACAGACAAAGACACACTGACATTCGGACGTACTTGCAGCAACGTGTTTGCGAGCAGATCTTTGTGCGTGGACGAGAGCAGGCACCGGTACATTCTACCCCCATTTGCCAAGTTTGTCTTGATCCAAAGTACCGCGCATATGTGATTTAAGTCAGCTTGGCTGCTAACGGCGAATCTTCTTTCTGTACTACGGCTGGATATTTCGTCACGGTCACCTGACGTTCGCCATTACATAAATCATCCTCGGATTTGCAGACTTTGGGTGCCTGGGATTGTATGCATGTACATCATATCGGTGTGGGCACTTTTGCTGTCTTAAGGAGCTATCACATGACTTGGATAGCCACGTTTATGCCTTCTGTACCTCCCTTTCATCTTCTTCACCACCGGAGGTGAACTTGTTATCATCTTCTCATGCTGCATTGAGGTGTCCACGTTCGTTTGCTTACTTAGTTAACATTTTCGTGCAGGCTCTGCGGCATCACCATGCCCCAGACGAGAGGAGACGGGGCCTTGGGGGATGAGCGTCTTTTGATGGGCGATGCCAACACCGATCCCGTGGCCTCGATGGAGGCTGAAAAAGAGCAAACTGCTGGGGTGAAGAGGGCGTCAGTTGTCCTGAACAAAATCAACCTCCAGGGCGACACGGTGAGATCTGATTCTAAGCTGAAAAATGGTACATTTATCCCAAGCACAAGACCCCTCAATTAGTCGGGCAGTCGGACTAAACTGGCGTCTTTAGGTAGTTTTGTACAGACAGCATCGCTTAGCTTTTAATTTTGGTCAGATCAGATTAAAAGTAACAATGCGATTCATTGACCAGAAGCAGGATTTTTACAAGGCCAATAACTGACACTTACGAGATCTTATAATCCAAGCAGAAACACAAAATAATGAGGTACCTACATTCCAAACCTGTTACATATTTTGGCCTTTTACTGAAAAGAAGCTAAGTAGGGCAAAATGATTTTTCGCAAATTCCCATCAAGCTTCGCAATTTCTGATTCCACAACATAATTATGGATAAGTTTATCCCACTTTTGACTCTAAACACATTTAGCGTCTCTCGCCCATGAGTCACTGAATGCTATCTTGACTAGAGAAAACATGCTGATGAGAACTACTTAACTCGCTTTTAGGGAGACCACACGAAGTGTTTATAGGCCTGGTTGAGAATCATCGTTTCGCCAAAGGTGGCATAAGATGATGAAGTATTGAGAGCTGAATTTTCCCATAACTATTTAACTAGGCTTCACAGTGCCATTAACTTTGACTTTAGCATCTTAAAAGGAATATGAGATGTATTAACCCTATTTCGTCTAAGGTGAAGAAGGACTAGTAGTAGAATTCTCCCACAATCATATGAGTAGAGCTGACGTTTCCATTGGAATTCATATAGGCTTCTCTTCCTCAAAAGTGTTCTCATCCAAGGTTGGACTGCAGTTTAGAACTGGCCTCCCTCAGCGGGACTCGCTAATGCAGGGGTTTGCAATACCTGGACGAGATCGAAACTGCAGCCTACCTTGAATGAGAAAACCTTTTGGAAAAGCAAGGCAACGT